CTACCATTGTGAAAATGGTTAGTGGCTTATTTTCATCTGATATTGCACAGAGAAGCTATTCGTTATCAACTTAGTTTTGGTTCCGAGGTTTTGTCTTAAGTTTGTGCATTCTTAAAAATTTCAAGGTTTAGGGTTTTGTTCATGAACTGCTGTGTGGATAAACCTTTAATTCAGGTGGAAGTTATGCTGTTTCAATATGTTTTTAAGGAGAAACATTTGATAGTCTTGAATTACAATATTTCTTCTGGCAAAACTTTGATTTTCTTAACCTTATGCAAGTGTTATAAACTTGTGGTAGTACAACCTGGATAAGTAAACTTACACATAAACTGGAAACAACCAAGTCAATTGATTCGTTTGAATTGAGGCATATTCTTGCTCATAATGTCATGACTCATTCTTTGCATGCCTCTCAGAGAAATTTTAATTTATTTATTGTGGCAACAGGATCTGTGTGTGTGATTATGTTTCTTCTTCAATTCCCTCTGCTTTGTTTGGTGTGAGCTCCAATTCAGTTTTATTTCTGGTAAATTCATCATTAAAAATTAATCAGCGCAACATTATGTTAGCCCTAAGATCCAGAAATAAAGACACACTTGAATATTGTAACTCAACATATATCTTAGTTGCTAGTTCACATTTACTGAAATTATTAATTGTTACAAAATTTCAGGTTATTGTTCCTTTTGTGTTTGTCACTCTGCAATTTTGAAATGCTTTACCCGATTTCTTCATGGTTTAAGCTTAAAGTTAAAACCCCTTGATAGTTTAAGTTTCACACATAAAACATTTCAAGCTTTTCAAAGAAATTCTTGAAGTGCAATCAAATAATATTATACTTCTGTTATTATGCTATACGTGTTAAGAAATATTTTATATTACAATAATAATTATTCTTATGAATTACGGAGACTACAAAGAAATGAACTATATTATTGAAATCTGTAGCAGATTGTGAGCCTGGTAGAAAGTTGAGTAATAATGAAATCCATCTAAACAGATAATTCATCTAGACACTGATGTTACATGTGATAATTGCTAACTTATATATGGAGAATTCTGCCTTTTTTTCTGGACTCTGCAATTGTTAAGCCTCTTGGCAGTGTCTGTGTTGCAATTTGAATTTATCTTCAAACCATTTTGATTTTTACTTTTCCTTGTCTTGTATTCCTTATCATAATCTGAAGCAAAAGGAAATAAAAATCCCAGACTAGTTTTAAAAATTTTAAACCGAAAGTAAATTTAAACCTTGACGTAATGTGTACACTTCGTCTTGACCTTGGTGATGTTTGACTGTGTTTATGCCAATCTTTCCTGTTGTGCTTAAACAAGCATTACAGGATGGTTATGAAAATATTGAACCATCTAGAGATGCATCAAAGTCACAGAGTTAGGCTTTTGTTAGATTTAAACCTTCCAAGCTAGTTATTGAAATCGTCACTTTTTTGTTCTTGATATCCTTCAGGGGCAATGCTTACCATTACAGTGATGGCACGATGTTTGCACAGCAAGCAGGAGCACCTTATCTTGATGCAGGCCAAGCAGCACAAAATTTTACGGCCGCCACAACACCAGGGGCAGTCACAAGTGGACAGACATTCTTACAGGTTACTCCTGCTGGGACAACCATGCAGGCACAGCGACACCCAATAACGCACACAACCAGGGCGTCTCCTGCAACAGTAAGTTCCCTTCTGAAGGCGTTAACACCTTCAGTAAAAGGTCAACTCATTTATCTACAAGAGTGGATTGATCAACATTTAATTTCCCGATGCATCATGAATTGACATAAATTATTTTCATTCCAGCAAATAGGGAACAGAAGTGTAATAACTTACCAACTAGTGAGTCTTGGTGTAACATAAATTATCATAATTCGATTAGATGTAAATCAGTGCGGAGAAGGAAATTAGATTCAGGTTGGAGATTTACAGTGTAGTTTTAGTGAAGTTTCTCTTAGGTTTTCTAGTTATTTAATACATAAGGATTAGGATGGTTCACATGTGGCAAACATTCACTTAAAGTTGGTCATGTACATCATTACATTACATAACATCTCAATAAAAAATAAAAATAAAATAAAACAAAAAATAGTGTAAGAGCATCATTTTATGGATCAGAAGTAACTTTGGGTTAAAATTTTAAATTGACTCTTTAAAAATGTTAGTAACTACATGTATTCCTTCTTGTCCTTGGCTTGTATAATTTTGATTAAAATAAATTAAAATCGACAAGTTTCTTATGTTTTGGCCTGTTCTCATAGATATAGTACCTGTTCTCAGGTGGAAAAATTTATAATCCGATTGTGCATTCAAAGGTACAATGGTTGGTCGACAACTACGAGACAGCAGAAGGAGTGAGTTTACCACGTAGTACTCTGTACAATCATTACCTTCAACACTGCCAGGGAAACAAGCTAGATGCAGTGAATGCCGCAAGCTTTGGAAAGCTTATCAGATCAGTGTTCATGGGATTAAGAACCAGACGATTAGGCACAAGGTAAGGATAAGTTGCATGTACTTCTGATCACTAAACATGTTTTTTTTTTTTGTTACAGTTGAATCCCACCATTTCAAACTTTAGGGGGTAATGCAAAATACTTAACAAATAGATTCCATGTTGCTGTGCGTCTGCTCAGTAATAGATCATAGATGATGTCAAAATGTGGTAAGAACAAAAAAAGTGGCACACAAGGCGATAGCCGAGTGTGTCACTGATGTTCTTACCACATTGTGACATCTTCTGTGATCTATTACTGAACAGACACATGGCAACATGGAATCTATTTGTTTTATATAATAACGAAACAAACTGTCTACTACAGATAAAGCTTTTTTCATTTCAAAATCTCTCAACATAACTCGAAAGCCGGCCTTTGCCCACTTTGGCGAACACGAAAAAAGCCATTTGAATTTGACGTAATCTATTGTCTATACAAATTGAAGCAATCTCATTGGTTGCTATGCATAGCAAAGAACTGTGATTGGTCCAGGAAAATCACACCACTGTCAAACTTGACTCGAGCATCACTTCTC